GATGGAGGGCCACTAGCAAATGCATCCAACAGAAGATGCAGAATAATTGTGATGGGCGATTCCCTCCTGAGGGGGACAGAAAGCCCAATCTGTTGCCCCAAGCCCTTAGCCCGTGAGGTCTGCTACCTCCCTGGGGCTCATGTCCGGGATGTGACTGAGGGGATCTCCAAACTCATCTGGCCCTCCGACCACCATCCCATGCTACTCATCCATGTGGGCACAAATGATATGGCTCGGAGCAATCCCAGCCAGGTCATACATGACTACAGCACTCTTGGGGCTGGACGTAGGGGTCTGGGGACTCGCGTAGTTTTTTCCTCAGTCCTCCCGGTCATGGGTCACAGGACCCAGAGGGGAAGGTGCATCAGTGAGGTGAACAAAAGACTCCAGTGATGGTGCCATTGTGAGGGTTTTGGCTACTTGTCCACAGTCTGCACTTCAGTGAGAGAGGTAGTGGACTGTTGGGAAGAGAGGGCCTTCATCTCACCTGGAAAGGGAAGAAGCTCTTCTCGATCAGAATGGCTGACCTACTCAACAGGGCTTTAAACTAAGATTGCTAGGGGCCAGGTGGTCAATAAACAATTCTAGCCCAGGTCATGCCAATCACAGTAGTAACAGCTTGGGTAGTCCAAGGGAACCCACTCTGACAGCAGCCCAAGGAAAGGTCACATCCCATCACACAAGGAAGCCTATGGCTTTTCATGGCAGACTCAACTTCCTGTACACAAATGCCAGGAGGTTGGGAAACAAACAAGAGGAACTGGCCCTTCTCTTTTGCAATAAAGACTATGACCTTGTAGGGATAACGGAGACCTGGCAGGACTCCACCTACGACTGGTCTGTGGGTATAGAAAGCTATACCCTGTACAGGAGGGACTGTGTTGGGAAGAGGGGTGGGGGTGTAGCTCTCTACACCAAGGAGCAGTGCACCTCCGTACAAACAGGGTTCACTAACTAAGAAGGGTGCCTCAAGACCCTCTGTGTTAAAAAATGGGGAGAGCATAGGGAAGGAGATATACCTGTAGGAGTCTATTACAGACCTCCCGGCCATGAAGAAGAACTGGATCAAGAATTCAATAGTAAACTGGATGAGGCCGCATACTCTTGGTGCATGATTGCCATGGGGGACTTCAACTTCTCCGACATCCTCTGGGAAGAGCACATGGCCAAATCTGACTGGTTGTGTAGCTTTCTCACCTGCGTTGATGACCTCTACCTAACACAGGAGGTCTATGGGCTGACTATGGGAGAGGCACTGCTGGATCTGGTTCTAGCCAAAGGGGATGATCTGGTGAGCAATCTGAGGATCGAGGGGTAGCTTGGTGACAGTGACCATGAACTGATCACCTTCTCCATTCAACACAGGGCGGGCCAGTCCCTCAGTAAAACAGAAATCCTCAACTTTGGGAAGACAGACTTTCACAAACTCGGGAGACTGGTTAGTCAGGCACTAATAGACCATGGCCCCTTGGGAAGTGGAGTCCATGAGGAGTGGCTATTCCTTAGAACTCAATCCTAGAAGTGTAAGGGAAGTCCATCCTGTCCTGCAGGAAATGCAGTCGGTGGGCAGGAAAGTCCCTTTGGCTAAACAGGGAACTATTAGACCTCCTGAAACTTAAAAGAGAAGCCTACACCAAATGGAAAATGGGAATTGTCACCAAGGAGGACTACTCAACACTTGCCCACACCTGTAGAAAGCAGTTCTGAAAAGCCAAGGCAGAAACCAAACTCAGACTAGCTGTCACAATCAAGGACAACAAAAAGTCCTTCATATATATGGGCAATCAGGAAAAGAACAAAGGCAATATTGGACCACTGCGAGATAAAATGGGGCAGCTGACGTCTGATGTGCAAGAAAAGGCCAATCTCCTAAAAGAATACTTTGCGTCAGTTTTCCACCCACCCAAGTGGATCACACTGTCAGACAGAATGCAAAATTTCCAGGGAGTGGGAGATGGGCTCATAATTGACTCTGATCAAGTGAGGGAATACCTCAAAAGGCAAGCCATCCATAAGTCTGTGGGCCTGGATGGCATGTACCTGACAGTCTTGAAGGAGCTGGCGGACATCATAGCACGCCCTATGGCAAAGTTATTTGAGTACTCGTAGTGCTTGGGTGAGGTGTCAGAAGACTGGAAAAGAGCCGATGTGGTCCCAATATTCAAAAAAGGAAGGAAGATGCAGGGAACTATAGGCCAATCAGCCTGACATCCATCCCTGGAAAGATCCTGAAGAAAATCATCAAGGGGTCCATCAGCAACAAGCTAATGGAAGAAAACTTTCTGAATGCCAGCCAACATGGCTTTATCACTGGAAGGTCTTGACTTACCAACCTCATCACCTTCTATGACCAGGTGACGCATTGCCTCAATAATTGACATTATATACCTGGATTTCAAGAAAGCCTTTGACTTGGTCTCCCATGATGTCCTCAAGGTTAAGCTGGGGAATTGTGGTCTCAACCCTCTCATGGTCCAGTGGCTGGGGTACTTGCTGCAGGGTCGGACCCAAAATGTACTATAGTTGAAGGGGGCAAATCAACGTGGCGCAAGGTGACCAGTGGAGTGCCTCAGGGCTCAGTTCTGGGGCCGGTACTCTTCAACATCTTCATTAGTGATCTGGATTCAGGAGTCAGATATGGACTGGTAAAGTTCATAGATGACACTAAACTATGGGGGATGGTGGCCACACTAGAAGACAGGCTGGGGGTACAGACCGACCTGGACACCCTTGCAAGGTGGGTGGACCAAAACCTGATGGCATTTAATGTAGAGAAGTGCAGGGTGCTCCACCTTGGGAGGAACAACCAGCATCATGCTTATAGAGTTGGTAGTGCTACGCTCACTAGCACCATGACCAAAAGAGACTTGGGGGTTTTCATTGAGCACAGAATGAACATGAGCCACCAATGCAATGCCGTGGCCGGCAAAGCTAACCCAACTCTGGCATGCGTCCATCGATGCATGTCTAGCAAAACCAGGGACGTTATCCTTCCACTTTACTCGGCCTTGATGAGGCCGCAACTGGAGCACTGCATCCAGTTTTGGGCCCCCCAGTTTGAGAGACTCCAGAGGAGAGCCACCCGTCAAGAGAGCAAACCTTACAAGGAGAGGCTGAGGGACATGGGACTCTTCACCCTGGAGAAAAGAAGGCTCAGGGGAGACTTGGTGGCAGCCTATAAGTACATAAGGGGAGTGCATCAGGATCTGGGAGAACAGTTGTTCACCAGAGCTCCCTGAGGAATAACAAGGTCCAGGAGCCACAAACTGCTGGAAGGCCAATTTAGATTGAAAATAAGAAAAAATGTCTTCACTGTCTGGGTGTCCAAGCCTGGAACACACTCCCCCCAGGGGTGGTGCAAGTATCTACTCTGGAGTCATTCAAGAGTCATTTGGATGTTTGTCTTTCTGGGATCATTTGATCCCCGCAGACATCATACCTATGGCAGCAGGGCTGGACTCAATGGCTTCATGAGGTCCCTTCCAGCCCCTACTGTCTATGAAATGTATGGAATCCTTTACTCTCTTTGGGGAGAGTAAAAGATTGTTAATCCTTGAGACTCTAGTAGCAATTAAAAAATAGGCAGTAGAACATCTATTTTCCCTATACTCTCTACCAATATATCTAAAACCTTTTGCTGAAGAACCTTGGGCATTTCTAAATGTACCTTTTTGTCCCATGATGTGCTACAGATCCACCGCTTTGGAACAGACTTGATTAATCAACTCTGGTCTGCATGCAAGCTGATATGCACTGCGCTGCACAGTTTGCAGTTATATAAGCAGTGAAATGCGTGTCAGCACACAGAAAATGGTGGTGGTGCTCTTTTGAACTAAAGCACGTCTGAGGTGTTTCAGTTCAGAAATGCATTGCTGCCATTTTCTTTGCATTAATGTGCATTTCACTGCTTATACAACTGCATGTGTTACAGCACTGGGTGCTTTTTGAAGCACCCAGCACTGCAGCACTTGCATGTGTAAAAAAGCCTCTTATGTTTAGCTTACATGGAGGTTTTAGTTTTTTTGTTTGTTTGTTTGGTCGGTTTGGTGGTGGTGGTATTTTTGTTTTTTCCTGCTCTGTAATGATCTCCTTAACTGGAGATTTTGAAAAAAAAGAGGCCGAATATCCAGAGCTGACCCGAGCAGGGTGCGGGGCCCGGGGCAAATTGGCTCATGCGGGGCCGTGCCCCAACTCCAATCCCACAGGCCCCGGACCTGAAGAAACTGCCGCTGCCATTGGCAGTGACTGGGGGGCCGGGGGGGAGGTAGCAAGTAGCTGGCTACAAAGTCGCCATTCTGCCAAACTCCGCCCAGCTCCACGCTGCTGCTGCTCTGCCCCACTCAGCAGGGCCCCCCAAAGCACAGGGCCTGGGGTGGTCGCCCCTATTTACCCCCGTCCCCCGCCCCCCCAGGGACGGTCCTGCGTACATCTATCTATCTGTCTCTGGTTTAGTTTAGTAATAAAACATCCTGTATCAGTACAGGGGTCAGACTACATAACTGAGCTCCGTTCCAATCCCCTGATTTAAGTATTGGTTTAGAAACCAAGGTAATATTCAGTTTAGTCCCCTAGTGCAGACACAGTTACACAGTAATAGAGATAACTTTTAACAGTTATTTATATTGGTATATTGCATACCACTTAAACATTTTTGTACTGGTATAACTATCCACATTAAGAGAGTGCATCAGTTTTACCCCATCAGTTTCTAAGTTAATATTACTGCAAAAATTATGCACACAAAAGTCTATATGGGAAGGTAGTCTATTCGCTGTGTCCATTTGGTCCTTGGACTTTCCTAACATCATTATATATCGTAGTTGGTGCCATTTCTAATAAAGATTTTTATATGATGGGATTTGAAGAGGTACTTTTTTTGTTTAGGCCATTGAACATCCATCATAAAGGTGACTTTTAATTACTATGTATGTGGGCCAGCTTTCAATGTAAAAATCTAGAAAAAAATCAGTGTAACATACTTTAAAACTTTTTTTTTTTAGATCAAACAGATGTATATAAGTTGCCCTGAGACCACATTAATGCATATAGCTGACATTTTAGCAAGGATTGCAAATGTAGAAGATGGTCTTTCTTTTCTTCTTTATGGAGGAAAAGCAAATTCTACCAAACAGGATAGGTAAGAAATTACTTTAATGAATTATATTACACTTATAAAACATGGGTTATGTTATCCAACTGTTCCTATATTTTATATAGTGCCTAATGTTTTCTTTTTGCATTGAGTAACTCACTGTTAAAATTTTTGCTTTTTAATTTGTGAGATGTAGCATTTCAACCAACATAAAAAGATAAAGTTTTGTGGATCAACATAATGCTTGTGACAGTTAAGTAGTGTAAGAATAGAACCACTTATAACTAGAAATGGTGCGCATTTTAAATATATCTGTGCCAATAGAGTTGTGCTACTATACTTTGTACTTCATGATATATAATATATTCTCTTGTACAAACCTGAAGTTTTCATAAGAAGAGGTCATTCTGCATGCCAAATAGTACACTAAATACTAATACCATAGGCTGAATTATATCTGCCTTTGAGTTGACTGTGTGATGGGGAATGGTCATACACATCTACCCATTTGCATCAGTCATTTATCTGCATAGTATAACTGTAAACAAGGAGATTCATATAAACATAGTTTAAGTTTACTATCTTTTCTGAAAAGGCTGTTTTATGAGATTAAATGTTTAATCTGCAAAACAGTTAGATTTGACCAGCCTTGATGGTATATATATTGACTGGAGATTGAGAATATGCAGGTGGTTACACCCGACTCCATGGAAAGTACATTGCCTGAATAACAATCCCTACCTGGAGGTCTTGGTATGTGAGCACAGTCACTGTATTGTGTTACAATGGAGGCCAAAGGTCCTGTTGATGTATTTGCTGTAACAGAAAAATGTTTGAAAAAAACAAACTATCTTGTTTTGCATGGAAAATGAATTTTCATGTTGAGTTTTGAGGAACAGCTTTGTGTTGATTACCTCCTTGTGAAGGGGTGCCCCTTGTGTTGGGCATGAAGAAATTAAATCTTGATACTGTATCCAAAAGTGGAAACTGGTCCTTCAAAATAGCCAAATTGCCAGTTCATAAGGTAATAGCTGACATGTAGGGCTTGGTTAGGATGTTTGGTGGAACTGTCAAGCAGGCCTCCTGAGTGGAGGCCCATAGCTATAGATAGATAGCAGATGTTTCTGAACAAAAAGGGAATAAGAGAAAAATATTTCGGACAAGAAATAACTGCACTCTAGTCTCCTTCCAACATGGAAAACTTCAGAACCAGGCCTCAACTAAGGGAAATGAAGAACTAGGAAATTTTTGTCTGGGTTGTATGTAGAAGTACAGATGCCAACACTAAAAACGTGTTTCTTGTTGTTTTTCCCAACTGGATTTTTAGTTGCAGAAAGCTGCCATGTGATTTATAGGCCTTTAAACTGGGTAAAAGGAAACTGGTTCATTTACTTCAATTTGGACCTATAGTCAAAGGAAGATGTCCAATTGACTGTTTTATTTCCTGTGGCTGAATATGAATTTTTTTCCTCATTTTTAGGGCTCGGTTTAAAGGGACATGACCTCAATGCTGCAGTTAGCCAGAGGTCTGTTTTACATTCTCACTGTAGAAGTTTAATGGGATAAGCAAAATGAGGAACTTCAAGCATTAGTATTACGAGTGATTACAGAACAGCATTTCCAATATGTTGTTTTATTTCTAGCCTTGCCGCAGTTCATACAATTGTTCAGTTTACAAAGGAACTTCTTGATGACAACATTTCTCTCTTTTCTGGATCTGACCTGTTACCAGTCCTTAAAGGAGCTTTCATTTTTGTATGCCGTCAGATATACAGTACCTGTGAAGGTCTGCAGGTACTGATTCCTTATGGTTTGCATGAATCCATTGCTGAGGCTTGGAAAAAGGTAATCTTATTGCATACATAAGTACATTTGTAAAACAAAACACATGCAACTTTACTGTCTAAATGTTTCACTCTTTCAAGTAAATTGTTTAAGTTCTGATGTAGTGACATGAGAATGAATTGCCAAGGCACTTCATTAGAGTGATTATATTGTTGTTGTAAACCCAATTTTCACTGAATTGTCTTTGGACCTACTTCTGAACCTCCTGCAGCTTAGAATTTCCATGCCTTATGTTTAAATTAAGTTATTTATACCACCTCTGGAGGCATTAGAGCAGTCCTGTTGTTCATAGGTTATTTCTTTCTGACCACTGAGAAGGAGCTCCCTTAGCACTGTGGCCTGCCAATGGTCAGTATTCAGTAAATGTCAAACAAATCCTATTACCAAATGTTATGCTTTTGTAGTCTCTGCTATTGATTCCTACTTCTGTCATTTCAAACAAAAAGCGATAATGTGTTAGGCATTTTTAGAAAAGGGATTTTATAGGCTTCAGACAAACAACTGAAAAAAAACCACTTGAAAATTTGGAACTATTAGGTTGGGCACCACTGAAATGTTAGGAGATCTTAGCGCGTTTGTACACATGATGATCATCACAACGTACACGTGACAAAAATTTCCTTTGTGTGGCTTAAAGGAAACCATGTCTGCCTGGTTTGGGGGTTTCAAATGAGTTTACAATGTTGCAAATTAAACCAAATCCCCATGTAGTTTAGTTTGCAACGTTGCTACTTGTAATGTTGCAGCCCTTAATCTGGAACCAGTTTGCCCCTGGTTCCTCTGAAAAAAGGATTGGGTCCCTCGCTGCTTCTCCCTTCAGCAGATATCTGGCAGCCACAGGCACCTGCTGAAGGAAGAAGTGGTGAGGGGCCCAATCTATTAAGTGAAGCCCCAGCTCGGAGGCAGCACTCGGCTGGATCCATAGTTTCATAGTTTGTAGGGTCAGAAGAGACCAGAGCAGATCATCAAGTTCGACCCCCTGCCATGGCAGGAAAGAGTACTGGGGTCAAACGACCCTGGCAAGGTGTTCATCCAGCCTCCTTTTAAAGACCTCCAGGGTAGGAGCCAGCACCACTTCTCTTGGAAGTTGGTTCCGGATCCTAGCCTCCCTGACAGTGAAGTAGCACCTCCTGATATCTAGCCTAAATCTACCCTCTGCCAGCTTGTGACCGTTATTTTTTGTCACTCTTGGGAGTGCTTGGGGGAACAGGGACTCCCCCAAAGCCTGTTAGACCACCCTGACTAGATTGTAAATGGCCACTAGATCCCCCCTCAGCCTTCTCTTGTGGAGGCTGAACAGGTTCAGGTCCCTTAACCTCTCCTCGTAGGGCCTACCCTGCTGACTCCTGATCATGCAGGTGGCCCTCCTCTGGACCTGCTCCATGTTGGCCACATCCCTCCTGAAGTGCGGCACCCAGAACTGGATGCAGTATTTGAACTGCGGCCTGACCAGTGCCGCATAGAGGGGGAGTATCACCTCCTTGGACCTGCTCAAGATGCATCTGTGGATGCATGACAAGGTGTGGTTGGCCTTCCTGACCGTTTCCCCACATTGGCGGCCCATGTTCATTTTGGCATCAATAATGACTCCAAGATCCTTTTCTGCCTCTGCACTGACGAGAAGGGAGTTCCCCAGCCTGTAGGTCTGCTGCTGGTTCTTCCTTCCCAGGTGTAGTACCCTGCACTTTTCAGTGTTGAAACCCATCCTGTTCTCATCCGCCCACCCCTGTAACCTGTCTAGGTCCGATTGCAGCCTATTCCTCCCTGCTAGCATGCTCACTTCTCCCCACATCTTAGTGTCGTCTGCGAATTTGAACAGGGTGCTTTTTACACCCCGTCCAAGTCACTGATGAAGATGTTGAACAGTGCAGGCCCAAGGACTGAGCCCTGTGGAACCCCACTGCCCACATCCCTCCAGGTCGAAAATGACCCATCCACCACCGCTCTCTGGGCGTGGCCCTCCAGCCAACTAGTGACCCATTTGACTGTGTTGTAGGTGTCGATGCCAACATTTCCCTGAGCCTGCTGGGGCTTCCAGTACCCCATGCACTGTCCCCGCCACCTTCCCGACACCTGGGACCACCTGCAAATGGCCTGGCTTGCCCCTGGGGCAGTGTGGGGAGGCAGCAGGAGGGTAGCTGAGTGTGCTCACAGCTGGAGAAGGCACTGGGGATTGTGCACAGGGCACTGGATGCCTGGGCAGGCTCGGGGAAGTTCAGGCTGGGTGGGCTTCCAGCACTCCGTGCGCTGTCCCTACTGCCTTCTCTGGCCACCAGCACACCAAGTTGCCCGTCTTCCACCTCCCCATGCTGCCCCAGGGGAAAGTCAGCCTGTTCCTGGGTAGTCCCAGGCAGCAGGAACACGGTGGGGCCGTGCACAGGGTGCTGCTCCGTGGATGTGCTTGGGGAAGCTGGATCCAGCCAGGTGCTGCTTCCAAGCTGGGATAGCACCAGGCCTGCTAGCAGCTGACCCAGGCAGCCCTGGGGGGGTCTTCCACCACAGAGGGAAGGACCAGGGCCCCCTGCAGCTCAGGGGCTGCTTGGCCTGTCAGGAGTTTGATCTCTGGCTGAGGGCAGGCTCTGCTGGGGAAAAAAAATGGATTGGGCTCCTCGCTGTAATGGTGATGGAAGCCCCTAAATTGAAATTCAGTTAAAAATCCACTATTCCAATTTAAGGGGCATAGACTGAAAGCCTGAGGACTAAACCCCCATCACATGTACAAGCACCCTTACAGTATTTGCAGGCAGGAAATCTCTCTTATACCTTAGGAAGCATGCCAAGAGACCACTATTTTTGCAACCTCAAGAGTTATGTAGGTTTTATCTTAACAAGAAACTCAGTGAATAAACCATGCAGTCCTGTACCTACTGTTTTTATGACTCAGGTGAGCTGATCATACATATTGGTTGTCATGGTCCTCTTTATTTTTCAGTAGATAAAAATAAAAAAAAAATCACACTGTTCCTATTAGCCCATTTGACTAGCATGGTTAAAGCGTGGTTTCTGTAGACAATGACAGAGAATGGAGTTAACATCATAGCTGTCTGCTTTTGACTTCACAGCCTTATAGCCACTACTTACAGGCCTGAGAAGCATTTTTTGTATCCAGAAGCTTGTCTGATATTCCTCCCAACTCGATACATGGTCCAGTAAAAGATATTTCCTCCGAAACTCTTTCTTCTCTCTTCCTTTAAGTTACTGTTTTGGACTTAAACAAAAGTAATTGTTTTATTCAGTATTTACTTAGGCTGGCTGTATCTAGTTCTTTACCAGACCTGAGGAAGGGTACTTTGCATCCAAAAGCTTATCTAACATCTCTCCCAACTATATAATATGTCCAATATTACCAAAAAATCCTTGTTTCTCATGCATCAACTTATAGCTGGCTCAGTGGGCAGTGGCCTTTAATGTAACTTAACTGTCTACCACTGTTCCCCATAACAGAAAACTGATAACTGAATAACTGAAAGCTGGTTTCAAACTTTCCTAAAAATATTTGCTTACAAACAGAGACCAAACCAGTCCTGTAAAAATGAGACTGAAAATGGGGCAGTTAGACAGGGGAAAAAAGGTACTGTTTCTTCTATATTACTGATACACACACATTATAATTAAAAGTCAATATAAATATGCATGTGTAATTATATGAATTAAGTAGTAATTCAGAGTAATATAAACAATCACAAATGCAAATTTAAACAGCAATTTATAGGTATATAACAGATGCTATGAATCTCAGTGTTTGGATGTTTCTCGCTCTTTTTGTTCATAAATACAGGACCTGTACTCCTTTTGTTCATAAATGCAAGACAAAGATCAATTATTATTTAAATGAAAATAAAATATGTAATTGCCTAGAATCCCAAATTCAGCATGATAAACTAGAATTTTAATTGAATAAACCTGATCTGAAACCTAGGGCTTTGTTGTTTTGACAACTCTAGATTACAATTCCATGAAAGTAAGGGAGTTAGTTTATATATATGGTGTTGTCATTTTTATATAACTCAGTAGATTTCCTATCTTTGCACTTTATAATGAGAATGCTATTCCGTCTACCTGAACTAACCTGTTACTTCGTTTAATTTTTAGAGCTATGGAACTCACAAGCTTTTGATGGGCATTTCCAATTACCTGTTCTGATTAAGTGCTATAGTTAGGCAGATCTACACACCCCTATGCACATTCAAATCTCTTGTCATTGTACAGAAGATCATTTAGACAAAAATATCAAAAAAAATTAGACAAAAATATGTCATATAAGGATAATACTGAGAAAGAGAAATAATACATTGCCAGTTCCATATTTGATGGGTTTTGTTTCAAAGTTGCATTGGAGGTCACATTAAGATTGCACTGTGACTGTTCTGTATTCAGTGTATTAATGATGAACAAACTGGTAAGGCACACCAAATTTTCAGCTCTCCCAACTTGAATTTTAGATTGATTTAAACCACAAACATTTGTAAAGAGCTTTAAGATTTCCAGACTTTGCTGGGTTACCAACATGTATGATAGATTCCTACTCATGTAGAAGTTGCTGGTTTTAATGGATATTTTTCAAGATAATTTAAATACTGGAAGCAATATCATATCGCCTGTGTTTAAGATAGATGCTGGTAGAATTCTAGGGTAGATGCTGTCATGAGATAAATTTTAAAAGGAGACTTGACAGGTCAGAAAAATATACTTCACAGCCCTGTTATAGATGTATTTGATCATGTGAATGTGGAATAATATAATTTTATTATGCTCACTAAAATTATACATTTACAATGTGTAATGTTCACTTTCTTTTGACCAAGCTGTGAAATGTCCCCTAAATGCTAAAAAAAAAAACCCCAAAAACCTTAAATAATTAATCTTGACTAAAATGTTAGTTTCTTAAATAACTGGTTTCAATATCTTTTTACATTAACATCCCCATGAAGTCCATTAAGTCCATTCTTTTTCTCTTGTTGAAAGCTGATGGGATTATTTAGACTGTTAAGTAAAGTTGATTCAGAAGACTCACAACACCTCAGGCCAGATCAACTAAATATCAAATATGTAATAATGATTCCAGCATTTTTTAGTATCTCTGCCATGCTGATAGAATAAATCATTGATTTGTTTTTTTTTCTTTTGGGGGGGGGGGGTGAAATTTTTGTACTATGGGGACCCTTTTAAATGAGAAACAAAGCAAGACTACAAACATCTTTTATTTTTCTTTTAAGCAAAATTTTTTCAAACAAGGAATCTTTTCTACACCAGTCTACAGAAATACTCACTTTTTATCCTTTTTAGTGAAAAACTACTACTATGTGCTGCTGTTTAAAATGCTGTGAATATTAACTGTATTATTTATTTTATAGACAAGTTTGTTTGCAGAAAGAATTCCAACTCCTGTAGCTAGTGCAGATTTCCTTTCCTCGGTAAATCAAGAGTCTCAGAATATGTAAGTACTGCTACTTTGGTACATTTGCACATCATTTTGGGTACAATACTAAACTTTATCATAGCTTAAATGTGTGCTTACAAATGTTTGCTGCAGCCAATCTGTGATCATGCAGCTTACTTTAAGCTGCATGATTTTAGGTCGGGAATGGCAGATACCAGCATATTTGCTGGTGCTGGGAGCCCTGCTGGGAACCTGCTGTCGGTAACTTGGGGTGAGGAGAAGAGCAGGAAGGATTGGGGAGAGCTAGTGGACCTATGTAGGGGTTGGTGGGATCGGAGTTGGGGTGACAAGTCTATAGGGGGGGTTGTTGGGTCTGTGGGTGGGTTGGGGGGAGTTGAGGGGCTAAAAATAGCATGGTCAGGGTAGGGGGTAGAAAGAACGCATTCCTGGGGCTTGGGTGAGTAGTTGGGCTTTTCCTGACCTGGGCCTGAGCTCCAAATGTGTGCAGATGTTTGGTAGATTGGACTAACCTGTTTCCGATCTAAGTTATTCACCTACTCAGGTGAACTAACTTAGATCAGGCCTGCCATTTTTGACCTAGTTTAAACCCTGCGGAGCATCTACACAGATTAGCATTCAGATCATCCTAACTCTAGTTAGGTTGATCTTATTGTAATGTATTCATGTACTCTTAGGCTTTTGCCAGGGTTACGGTTGGTAGCTATAAGAAATCACAATTCTTGAACTGAGGTTCCCCAATTTTGCTGTCCTTATTAGAGGGCTTTAAAGATACTTAGAGTGTTTCCTGACACCTCATAGTTGTGTAAAATTGGCTCACAGTTTGCTGTCTTTTGTGGAGAAAACTTTGAGAAAAATATAATTCATTAGTAGTAAAACAAAATAGTTGATGCAGTTTTTCTGGTATGGCTTTGATGTGTTATTAGTTAAAAGCACTGTTTGTTTGAATGCTGTTTACACTCCAAAATATCATGTAGCAAGAGTGTCAGTGTATTGGCTGAAAGCCAGTATTCTTCTTGAGAGAAAGGCATATCTCCTTTAATGTTAAGAGCTTCATTTTTCCAATAGATGTTTTAGTATCTTAACTCTCGTGGGCACATTTTTATCTTGGAATATGATGGAATAAATATTTTTTGAGGAACAAAGGTTCAGGGCAAAAAATGTATGTTATTTGTAATTTTTTCCCTCTGATTTTCCACTGCATTAACAATCTTTTTGCTAATCTTTTCAGTATGGTATGGGAAGAAACTTTGTTAGATGATTTGCTAAACTTTGCGTCTACTCCAAAAGGACTACTTCTGCTGCAGAAAACGGGCACCATAAATGAATGTGCAAGCTTTATGTTCAGCAGATTGTCAAAAAAATTCCAGGTAGGCAGAGTAGTCTCTCATACAATTACTCATTTTTAGAAGGTAGAGATAATTAGAAGGTAAAGCCATAAACTGTTGCTTATCAGTTAACTTCTGGAAGAGTCAGTTTAAAATATAATTCAGCATTCATTATATTTACTATATTGTTTTATTTCTTTTGCTTCTGTGAAAAATGTCATCAATAATGTCACATATTATCATTTTTAATATTCAGTTTCAAATGGAATTTGAGTTTGGCTTTGGGATTGGATCTTTAACCTGGTCAGTGCTCTGGGATGACATCATTCATATATATGTACAGTTGAAAAAACATTAAAATACTGTAAGTCACATTGCATTCTGCCAGGCCATGTACAGACATTTAATTTCTCCTGGGAGAGTCACTTTTTTACATTCATTGCCACAGGAGTTGGTAGAAACAGATAACATAGTCAGGTTCAAAATGGGACGAGACAAATGAATGATAGACCTATTAATAGCTGTTGAACAGACTAGTTGGAGTTGTTACCTCTGACATGTCTAAACCAGTTATGGTGGATGCTAGGACAAGTCATGAATTGATAGATCATTCTAGATATATCCAGTTCAGTGCTCTCCCTCTAAATCATCTACCCCTGCCACTGTTGGAAACAGGATACTGAGCTAGATGGACCATTGATCAGACCCAGGATGGCACTTTTTGTGTTCTTATGTTTGAACAAATTCCTTATTTGCTAAACATGCTTGTGTCGTGGTATTATCTTGCAAGGTTTAAAAGGGAGTACTATTAAAATATTAATATCTAACAATGTATTTACTTACAGATTTTAAAATACTATAGAAAAATAAAAACATGTAAAATGATTTTGAGAGCATGGATATTTTGATTATGGCCTCTAGATTTGTTTTATCTATTATATTTATTACTAATAGGTGAATGGATGTGAACAATTTGGTTATGGAGTGATTGTTACACAAATGGCAGCAACATCTCCAGGTGCGGTAGCTCTGGAGAGCTCAGGTAACTGAATTATCAGTAGTTACACATTGCCTTATCATGAATTAAATATGTTAAAAGGTTGTCAGGTATGACTAGAAACAAAATGCAACCAACAAGAAAATGAAGCAGAGGAGCTCCTTCACTGATGCTTCCAGCACTACTTTCAAGCATACCAGAGGGTCTCATGAGTGACCATGGGAAGATGCTTTTGGAATGGCTTTACCACCAGGTTTCTGGGTTATGTGTGTGTGAGGAGGTGTGGATGGATATGATGCTTGCCAGAGAGCATCCGTCTGGGGACGCACATTGATGACACAGTGTACATACACTGTCACAAAAGGCAGGCAAACTCTTCCAATCAAGGAAGCTGAAATAACCTCCACCAATTATTTTTAGACAACTTTCTATGAAACACAAGTTTTTTTCAATCTTGTTTTGTTTAATTCTGCCAGCTACTATTCCTACAGCCCAATTTTTCTCACTAATCCCTTCTGATAAATCCGTATACCAGTTAAATTTGCCAAATAACAGAATTCAGTCTTGGGTATGTTGTATGACAGAAACCTTGGGATAGATGAACATTGTCCAGAACTAACATCTGGAGTCTCTAAGGAATTGGAGATTTACTTAAGTAAATCCATCTATCTTTTTTAGATCTGCAGCCTAACCACATTTTATGACTATTTGTATAAAAAACAACTGTCACAACCCAATTAAATTGTGCCCATGTCACTGATCAAGAGATACCATTCAAATCATCCTCATTTTGACAATTAAGGGTTAAAAGACATCCCTGCCAAAATTCCTTGAAACAAAACGCTGGCGGAGAACTGTAGATAATTGGTCAGCTGAAATAAAATGCTAGGGGAAACTATATATAATTGGTCAAAAAATAAGCGTAAGCTCCTCACACGTAGCGCACACGTAACAGGTAGAGAAACCTAACCCACTACCTTGTAACTTGAGGAGACAAAGAGCTGCCACCTGCCAAAAATTAAAGATTCCATATAATGGTTCACGATTGGGTATCTCTGTCAAACACCTCTGCCTATAAATAGTTTGACGGTTTCCGCCCAAGGCGGAGAACTCTGGGGATCTCACAGGAAACACCTGTGCTTGTCACCAGAGAGTTGGGAACTTGATCAATTCCCAATCAATCACCCCGTCAGCGTAAAATATTGACGTAGAAAGTCTTGCAAGCCCGACCGTTCGTTCTGGCGCCACTTCCGTCGCCACGTCCGTCGTTATCTCGTTGTAACCTAACTGCATGTACTCAACTCTGTAACCGAAGCTATATGCGTGTACTCAACTCTGTAACCGAAGCTGTAAGGGAACAAAGGCTCGCCTGCGTCGTCATCACTATCTAGGCGACGTAAGTAAACAAACTCTTATAACCTACACGTGTCTGTGCCTGGTTAATTCCACTCCATCCATCAATTACCCGCCTGCCGAGTTCTAAATCTAAACACTCCAGTGTGAGTCAGATGGCTGCCGGCGGCTGCTCTGATTCACGACAAACTGAAGTTTTAAATAAGCAGCCTAGATGTTCAGCTATACCAGAATGCATTTGTTCAAGTCTGAATAAAGTCCTAAGTATTGCTTAGCACTTATAGTAGCACATGTACAGAAGTTGTATATTTTTCTTTCCCCTTCATTTTCATTTGAAGATATACATTGATACTGGATGATGGGATAGAATGCACCCTCAACTAATTTGTGAAGGACATCAAGCTGGGCTGGAGTAGTAGGTACACTGGAGGGTAGGTCTAGGATTCAAAGAAACCTAGCCAAATTGGAGGATTGGACCAAAAGTAATCTCATAAAGTTCAATAAAAGCAAGTGCAAAGTCCTGCACTTAGGACAGGATGATCTCATGCTTTGGTACAGAATGGGGACTGACTGGCTAAGCAGCAGCTCTGCAGAAAAAGGACCTGGGGGTCACAGTGAACAACAAGCTGAATATGAGTCAACAGTGTGCACTTGTTGTGAAAAGGTTAACAGAATACTGCCCTGCATTAGTAGGAGTCTTACCAGCAGACTGAGGGAAGTGATTATTTCCCTCTATTTGGTAAGGTGAGGCCACATCTGGACTACTGTGTCCAGTCTTGCTGACCCCCCACACACACGCAATAGAAAGAATGTGGACAAATTGAAAAGAGGGTCCAGTGGAGGGAAACAAGAATGGTTTGAGGGCTGGTGCACATGACTTATCAGGAGAGGCTAAGGGAACTGGGCTTATTTAGTCTGAAAAAGAGAAGACTGGGAGTAGGGGAGGGGGTTAATTGCAGCCTTCAACTAGTTGAAAGGTGGTTCCAAAGAAGATAGAGCTCAACCAGGGGTTCCCAAACAATGGTACGCCTATGCCTGGTGGTTTGCAAGACGTTTCTGGGGGTATGCGGGAGAAATTGTGTAATGGTGGATTTAATTTTCATTACAATAATAATTGTCATTTAATGGGTTAAAATATAAAAATATATGCTTGTGGGGGTATGTGGGCAGCTGGTAAATCTGGAAGGGGTATGCAATTAAAAAAAAAGTTTGAAAACCTCTGATCTAGACTGTTTGCAGTGGTGGCAGATGACAGAACAAAGAACAATGGTCTCAAGTTGCAGCAAGGGAAGTTTAGGTTAGATATTAGAAAAAAAATTCTTACGAGGAGGATAGTAAAGCCCTGTAATAGGCTACCAAGAGAAGTTGTGGAATCTCTGTCCTTAGGGGTTTTTAAGACGTGGGTAGACAAAGCCTTGGCTGGGATGATAACGTTTGGGACTGATCTTGCTTTGAACAGGGAGTTGGACTAGATGACCATGTAAGGTTCCTTCCAAACCCTAATTTTCTATGATTCTATAATGTCATACTTAAGTTGGCTAACCACATGATTTTTATTATAAAATGGTACTGATACTACCGTAAAACTTCTCCTGTTTCATTATGCAAATAAGTGAGCTATGTACTGACAAGATATCCTACATCCTTGTTTTTTATTGTATAGCTATATACAAGTGTATATTATATTGTATAGCGTAGTGGTTCCCAAAATTGTGGTCTATGAGAACCACATGGACACTGCTAGATTTTTCTTATCTCCAGCAAAATGATATATGAAAAGGACCCAAGAATACGTCAAGAAATAATTTGTAGTGATACTATTTTTCCTTATGAACGACTTCTGTAGTAGTCACAGTGATCGTCTCTGATTTATGGGAAGCTGGATGGATCATAAGATCATTAATATTAAAAAAAGTGTTCCCCAAAGTCTTCTCTCTCAAGATTTCATCCATATAAATAACTTTGAGAATTCTCAATGTATTGAATGTAAAAAAAAATAAAAAAAATATATATATTTTAATGGTACTTTTAGCATTTTTATGACTAAATCAAATATTCAATTTTAGGATATATAAAAGCACTTTTAACAGAATTGTGGGCTGTTCTGGAATGTGGAAGGGATGATGTTAGGATAAGTCGTCCAAAATCTACTCCAGTAGATCCCATTGACCGGAGCTGCCAAAAGGTAAGAAATTATCCAGGTTTCTACAGTTTGGTGTCACTGCGCATACATAAACAGATGCTGTCATGAAGGCCCTTTATGCATTGCATCCCATGTCAAATATAATTTTAGCTTAAGTTTTCATCAGCATTTTTCCACTTTAGGTACATATGGTAAAATGGTTATAGTATAATATTTAAATAATAACTGAATGACACAGACCCCTATGTAGTCATGAAGGTCAGTGCTGCAAGGATTTCTTCAAATTATATCATAGTGATATACAGGATCATCTTGGAAAAAAATGGAAGGTCTTAAAGTAGTATGACAAATTCAGATATACAGGTGTTGCATTAGAATAATATATGCACATAGTTGGCCAAAATAGACGTAGACATAAATTGACTGAAGGTTTTGTATGGGATTAAATTAATTTGATACCAGATTCATAGGTAGCTTGATTCACATGAGTTTCATTTGCTTTTTTTCTGATAGCAGTAAATTTGTCTGAGAATCAGGGACAGCTACATGCACATGTATATATGATCTATAACATTTACAAGTACAAGACAAGTTGTGTAGCATCTAAACAAATTCTAAAGTTCTCTCCATGGAAGAATTCCCAGCTTTCACTGATTTTTATATGCTTCTAAATAGTCCTAAAGTCTGCACAGTCCTTATATACTACACTGGCAATACTGTCCTTTTAGTATCTGCATAGATTTTCCTGCCAGTGGCTCTTAATAGTGATCCATAGGTGTTTGATTGGTAGTTCTAGCTGTTTCATTTCACTTCATAGAGCAAGGTACCTTTGTTAGGGTAAGGCCAATACCTAACCCGAAGAAACTGATATTGTTATAATTTAATGTTAGTTAAAAGTGAATATGTATTTTGGCTCTGCAACTATAAATATTTAATGAATCAGTGTTCCTTCTCCCCTACCCTCAGTCTTTTCTAGCTCTGGTAAACTTGCTATCCTATCCTGCTATTTATGAGCTCATAGGTAACCAGGATATACCAAATAAACCTGAATATTCTCTCCGTGAAATTCCTACAAGTATTATAGTAAGTATTTTTTTTCTAAATTTAATAGTATATAGTTTTACTTTGAACAAATATCATCTTAACATTAAAATAGTTTCTCTGTCTGCTGTTTAGTATTATATTTTAAAACTATTTTTCCGTATTTTTTATTGTGTACAGCATGAGGGCAGTATATGCACATGGTACTCTGTGTTAACATGAATTTCACTCTGAAATCCTAGGAGTAATCGAAAATGTTTACCTAATTTGAAGATCTTTATTATGTTACTTTTATTAAAATTACTCTTTCTTGAACAAAGCGACCTAAGAACATTTGTAATGCCACCCCCATAGTACTGAGTGCTTTACATGTAGCTTCAGCATGAAAATTAAAAAAGGTAGCATGTTAGGTTTCATGAGGCAAATATGGCAACAACCCAAATGTAAAAGCAAAATTACTAGTCAAGTTATAATCTAAATGTAGTGACCTTAAGTAGTGGTTTCACCTTCCTCACTTTAGTTTATTCACTGTCCCCCACATGCAAAAGAAATGTCTCTCCCTGTCGCATCACACATCACATGCAAATTTCAACACTAACCTTGAAAGCAGTTAAAATTAGATCTTTGTTAATGGATCAAAATGGTATATTTGTATTGCAGCGATGTATAGGATTAGTCAGCAAGTTTTCAGCCAGAAGTCAGGATCTTAGACAACTGTTAATTTCAAGAAAAAGAAAGTGTTTTTAGTTTGTAGTTTTGTCTTTTGGATCAGGAAGTTAGTGTTTTTATTTTTGTTACGTTTGTGCGGGCCGGGAGCAGTCCGAGGCTTTCGGGGGTGCGCGGCGGGCTGTGGCCAGCAGCCCTGGCATGTGGGTCGGGGAATTCGGCACGGCGGACTAGAATTAGGCACGGACACGTAGCGGTTGATTAAAAATTATTTTACTTACACCGTAGATGGTCGCGGTGCAGGCAGGAAAAACTTCGCTTAAGTTGCAGTTACAAATGAAAAGAAAACTCGCTCGAACAAGACCCGTAGAAAACTCGAGCCTCTTGAACCCTGACAGAGCTCCGGATACCACGATGAGAGTCCAAAAGGTGACTCTCCACGAAAGCGTGCAGGGAAGGGTACGTCGAGGGATCAGGCGGCGACGGGGAGAGGCTAGAGGTTGATCAGGCCCCTATATCCTTCTTAAGGCACACGCTGGGTTTGTTAGGCTCCGCAGCACTTAGAGTTCTTCACAAGATGTGAAGTCCTCCTTCTCCTCCTCCACGAGATGGTTGTGGAGTCCTCCTCCTCCAGCTTGGGCGGAAACCGCTCAAGCCTCTTATACGGCTAGCAAGCCAATTGCTAGCCGCCACGTGGGAATAATTTAGAAACAGCCAATAGTGGGGAACAAATTTGCATGCGAATGGCGGGAACTCCTTTGCACCGGGGTTTTCTCTATGCAACTGAGAATTGCACTGTGCAAAGAAAGCTCCTCGTGGCGGGAAATAATTCTGCGGTGCCAAAGCGCACACACAATCATACCCTTTGGGTCATGACAACATTCTCTAGGTACATTTAGGTGATATAATGAGGAAGTATCTTTCCATTTTTCTGTGATTGAATACTTCTGTTCAAAGTCAAGCTGGCATGTTTTGTGAGTCACTAAAGGGAGTAGTCCTGTGTTGAAAGGGATTCCGTGTTTTGAAGATTACAAGGTTTATGTGAAACTTTAGTAGTGATTTGTAGCTTTCTTAATTTATGGTGACGATAAAAGCGCATACAGCACACTTTTAAAAAAACTTTTAGTTTAAGTGATTTGTCTAGAGTTGTAAAAAGTGTTTCTTAATATCATGCCAGTTTTACTTGCATAGATGTATGATATAAAGATCTATGTCGAGTCCTCAAATTGTACTCATATAGAGTACACTGATATAGAGTCTTCAAATTATACTCTTTATATCTGCATTAGCTGCTGTACAGTTTTACTCCTTAGCGTCTCTACAAATGTACTCATTCCTCGGTTTCCCTCTAGAATTTTATTTCTCCATAATGACTACCAGTGGCCCAGTTATCTCCCTCCAAGGTTTACAGAACTCATCTCTGCCCCATCATGGCAAAGTCCTTCCTAAGGGCATATAAATATGAGAAGATGCTATGGTTGTCAGACAAAAATACTTCAACATCTAAGTTTCTTTCTGTGCATACAAACAAACATTTTTTTTTAAATCCTTAATGAATCATTAATACATTTTAAATATGAGAGACTGCTTTAAACAGTTTCTTTTCCCAAACTTTTATACCTTATATTGGATGTTACTTTACTTGTATTGGTAACTTAATTTCATGAAAATTTGAAATATAAACTAATGGAGTTTGTGAAAATAAGATCCTAAATTTCTCTTTAATATTGTGTTGAAGTTTCTCATTGATTTATAGCAGGGCTAACTTGTGTCCTGCAGACCCTGGATGCTTGATGACCCATTACTGTGCAGTAGGGGTCTGTGTGCTGCCTGTGCAGCCTGCGTAGCTGGGGGAGTGTGCTTACTGCTGGTGCTGCCTGGTGGGGACAGCACCAATGATACCCACTGTTGGGAGGATTGCCTGTGCAATGTGTGGCTTCTAGCCACACTGGTCTAGAGTCAGACAGTGATTCTCTCTGGTGCTCCTGAGGCCGTGCATCTTAAACAAGAAGCAGATACAACAAATTGGATTTCATCCAGAGTAAACAAAGCCATTAAGGATTTACTGGGTTTGTTTCTTTTGACTGATTTGTCCTCTCCATGACCGAGACCTTGTAGAGAGGCTTCTGTGTCCCAGCTATCCTCAGAGCTGTCACCCAGAGTCTCTCACTCCTCTGGCAGTGTCGCCCATGGCAAGCAGGCATGAGGAGAGGTTCTAGACACAATACAGTCTAAACTCCAAGTCCTTAATGGCAAATTAGGTGAAAGAAGAAGCAAATTAGGTCAGGATCTCAACCACTGTAACAATAGAAGAAGACAAGATGGAGGTCTCCTCTTGTCTAGGGTTTCCCTTGCAACTGGGCTCACATGTCCACCTTGTTAAGAGTGTGTGGTTGCTGTTTCCGTACACCAGCTTCCTCACATTAAACAAAGTCATGTGCAGGCTTCTGCCATGGGAAACAAGATGTCGTGTTGCTAGAGGAAATGCTGCAAGGACACATTGAAGACATACCCCAAGAAAAGGGATGCCGATGTCAAGACTTGGGAGGAGCTGGCTGCTGACTGACTCAGTTGTGCCACAACCTCAACATCCTCAACCAACCAGTTGCCCAAGACATCTTGCCTTTGAAGCAGAGAAGAGAGAGCAGAGGAAGAAAAAGGAGAGATATCCTGGTCTACAGGTTACCCTCCCCTGTGGAAAGATCTACAACTTCTTCAGGCAAGTGTGTGGCTGAAGGACTGGCTTCTAGTCACCTCAAGACTCCTCAGTGAGCTGTGGTAGAGATCATCCTTGAATTGAGGGACTGCCACCAACAACATTTGCATCTAAGAAAATGGCATCACTGGATGTTTTTGTGAATTTTGTGTTGTAGTTGTTTTTTTTTTTTTTAATTAAATTATTGCTTTAGAAATTGCTATTTGAATATAAAACAAACCAGAGGGAGAGATAATTCATTTATAACTGTGGAGAAACAGTAGGCAGTCACTGGTTGTTTACAGTTACAATAGACACTGTAGGCTAAAAAATAAAATTAGACAAATGAAACCCTTACAGAGTTAGGGAAAATATGTTCCCCATGAGCAGGTTATTCTGTAATTGTCCTCCTCTGAAACACATGGTACTGGCTGTAGTTAGATTGGATGCAAGACTAACTGGACTGCTTTTCATCTCCTGTGGCCATCTTTTGTTTCTATAGAGACTGATCAGCACCACAGGTGTTAAATAAATTAGCCAGGTACTAAATAAAACTAATTTTCCATATTTTTTAAATGTAATACCTTGCTATCTTTCTCATGTGTTTACTTTTAATAGAAATTAAAGTATTGATGTGTCAGTATCTTGATGTATAATTAGTGACATTAGGATTTGGACAAGCATCATTGTAGTCACTTTAAACAGCAGGGGAAACTGCTGCTCAGAAGCATGCAGCCCTAGTTATGACCTAAATGTTACATCTACATGTGCTTCTAGTGGTGCAATTTAGCTAAATTCTCCTACCTCTGATCATGAATGAAAGAGGTTTTGCTACACTGGGATTGCTACAAAATCATGCTGATGCAACAGTTGCATTGTAAAAGCTTGTATTCATGTCCTTTGGTAGAGATATACTTTTATGTCTGTAAATAAAATGGGTATTTGGCTTGCTTCTGAACCATTGAAGTAACTGGGAGTTTCTCTATTGATTTTGGTGGGAGAAGGAGCTCTAAAGACCAGTAATGTCTTAAAAATAAATTTGTAAAAAAACCTGGTGAGTTCCTTGAGTAGTGCCATGCTTTCCAAGAACCATTCATACATAAGTAAACATGTTAGAAATGTAAATAAATGAATAAAGAATTTACATTAATGTTATATTTTTTCAGGATATCATTGACAGACTTATAATTTTGAGTTCAGAAGCTAAAATTCACTCTTTATTCAATTATGAACAGTCTCATATCTTTGGTCTAAGGTAAGATGCCTTATTTTCATTTTCTATTCAGATTGATTAAATAGAATACAGCAAGCTTGTAGCTGTTGTTTCTAGTAAATCTACATTATGGCATTTTATTACGAATGAAAGTAATATTCAGTTAATTTTGTAATATAGAAAGGTTGACTGAAAAAAGCATGATACAGAATTAGGAAACAAGCAAATAATAATCTTATTTTTAATAACTGTGTATATGATATTTAAAATCAGTTGCACCCGATTATTCAGTATGGTTGTTTGAAAAGAAAATCTAGTGCATCCTGCATGATACATTAAAATTAGTCTGCCAAATAATGATGTATGCTGAGTATTTAACATGTCTTTTTTTATGTTTAACCTATCCACAGTAAGTTTGCTTATTTTAATTATATACTAATTCCAGTAGTATTCTTATGCTTAGATCAGAGAATATCTCTATAACTTGAATGAACATATTAAATATACCCACTGTATGACGTGTTCTGCTATTACATCTAATTGCTTTCCAAACATATAAATTCAGAAATAACCACTTATATTCTTTCTTTTTTACTAGACTATAAAATACATGGCAAGATACTGTTTTATTTTTATATTTTTGTGATTCCAGAAGATTAGGTTTCTTTCCTGGGTTATAGTTTACCTTTTGAAAAAAATTGAGAATCCTTCTTTGGGCAGAGTAATGATCTCAATTATTTCATGAGCCAAAAATCAGTTTTCTAGCCGTTCCTCCATACCAAAATATTAGAGAAGATCACCCCATATAGGATATGTATTTGTGTTTGGTGCGCTATAGATTGCAACACATCACATGGATGTCAAGGACTATATGAGTAGCAGCATTTTGTGATCTGAGAAATGCAGTATGAAATCCAGGGTCAGATAATTTAAAAAATAAGGGTAATAAAATCAGCAGAAGTGATGAGTCTTGAGACTGACTTTAAAAATTGATTAACTATATTAACTGAGCACCCAGGATGAAAACCTGAAGTTAATGGCACCATTGATGTTAGTGGCAGAACTCTTATTGAATTCAGTAGGCCAAGATTTGACTTCCAGAAATGGCTGTTTTAAAGATAAAATATGAGTTTGTCTTCATTTGTGTTCTATCTTGCACCCCAGTGCATCTTTTACATAGCAAAACAGAACAACCTATTAATTTGGGTTCATAGCTGACTCCTAGATTTCTTTTAGGTTGTGCATGCATCCTGAATGTCGAATGCTTTAAAAATATTTTTAACGAAGACTCTGTCCTCTGTATGAGGGTAGCATGGCTGCTGACAGATGTAGGGGGAAAAAAGTGTGCTCTACTGGAAGAAGCAGTGCTTTAGTTTGATCCAGGTCTGAAGCTTCTGTAAAGATCAGGTGCTTCAGTGGGGCTTTTTGGCACTTTTATCTAAAAACTGATTTAATCAAAGCACCAAAAAAGCTCCAATAAAGTGCCCAATCTGTATAGATATTGGGCAAACAGAGTCCAACCAGCACAATGCCAGTTCTGAACATGTGCTGGGCTCAGTGTGGGGGTGTGAGTTTAAAGTAAATCACCATTTTTGTTTTTTAAGTCTGTAAGCAGCCTATGTGATCAGAAATTATGTTTAAAAACACATATAGAAAAAGTACAGATGGGATTGAGAGGTCACTGAAAATCTGAAGGTGAGGCATTACATTTTACCCTAAATTCTGAAAAGGATAAAAATTGTGAGGTTGTAGACTTCCTATTTCTTAGTTTGTGTAATGAGAGAATCTTCCACATTTTAGGAGAAAAGGATGAAGTATCCTGCATACAAAAACATGGAGATCCTTTAGGGTTTTGAAGTAAAAACCAAACAAATAAATTGTTAAAGGATTGAAATATAATTTATCAGGAGGCCCCAGGAGGTCCTTTTACAGACTCGGAGAGACCTTGAACTTCACAGTTCACAGCCTCCCTCACGTTGTTTCTGTCTTGGACGGCCAGAGCCGACTCGAGGTGATTTAATAATTACTCGTTCGTTGGGCGGGCTGGTGAATAGAGAGGCGGACAAGGCTTAATTGGTTGCAAAACTTTACTTACGCCTCTTGTAGCTGCGACGCTGACGGTCCGGTCGTATGAACAACTATGTTAGTTGTTCCAGCTGGCAAGGCTCAGGCTAGCTCCTCCGTCCACAAATCAAGCCGGCGGGGCAAGGGTACTTCGGGGATTGCGCTCGGCGACGGGGAGAAGAATCGATAGGTGATCAGTCTATCGATCAGCTCAGCTGCAAGTCAGATTTCTTTAGAGGCACTCTGCAGTGTGCTCAAAGTTCTCCGACCTGGGCGGAAGTCGCACAAAATTTTAAATGGCCAGCAAGCCAATTCCCAGCCGCCACGTAGGAATAATTTAGAACTAGCCAATAGCGGGACACAAATTTGCATTCAAATGGCGGGAACTCTCTTGCA